ACAAATATACTGTACATTTTTTGATTTTGGATAACTGCGTATTTGAAGTAACTATGAAAGCAAACTATGGTAAATAAAAAGGCTCATTGATCAGATATATGTTTCAAATAGCAGGCGTTATGACAGTTATCATTAACCCTTTAGCTGACTTCGGATTTCACAAAGGGGAGGAATATAATAGTGAGAAAAATTCGAGAGGGGGGGGGGAAGAAGAGGGATTCAGGGATGTAAAGGGACAGATGGACACAAATGCAGAGAAAAGGTAAGATGAGTACTGTTGACGTGGTCGAATTTGACATACAGTGGGGCCATGATAGTTTGAAGTCAGAAGTCACTTGCCGGTTAATAGACTTTTTGCCGTATGTGTGTACGCTGTCCAGGGTGCCCCAGGTGGAGGTAAGTCTATCGCGCACCCCCATTGATCAGATATATAGACTAGAAATGAACATGCTTTCCATATTCATGTCACTGGACAAAAGACGGCACATGATGTCTTCTGTTAGTTTTGATATTTAACTTATAACGTCGGCTCTTTGATGAGAGGGTCAGTTAACTTTTTGTAGGCTATAAACACTAAGGCTGAACATTCCGCAGTCTGTTTATATGGGTTGGCATGAATAATGTCCTTCTATTTATGCTATTATTTCATTAGATCTACTTCTTCTTACACCTTGATGGTCTATTCTGAGATCACTTTCTGTTATATGCAATAGTGCTGCAAACTGTAAGGATTTACATATATTATTAATTTTACTATTATTTTACTTGAAATTCCAATTAAATTGGCAGTAAAGTGGACATTGAAACCAAATACGAACAAGTGCAAGATTAGTCTAAATCTCGCAGAGTAAACCCATGGATATTACATGCGATATTTGCCACTTGAAAAATATGAATCCATCTAATAAATATTAAGGAAGAAGACATTAAAGACTACTAGAAAAAACTTTAGATGAAAAATTATAAATTAACTTAGCCTATAAGTGAATGTTATCATAATTAACCACGAAAAATTTAAATAGTCAAGAAAGGGTTATCACATGGAAAATGAATTTTTTAGCCAAAATTTTAATCGAAGCCCCATTCCCTGGATGGTGAAACTTAGTTGATGAATTCTACACCTTTCGTTAGGGTATGCATAACCTTCAAACTAAACTTGTGAAGTGACCGAAGAAATCACTACAAAGGACACATCATCGAAATCCATAAGGCACTATTCCTATACCCACATTATTTTTCTCTCTGTTATGAGAATAATTACTTAATTAGGTGGAAACATATTGTCCTATTTTTAATTTGAGCTATCCACGTGAAACAACAGATCAGTTTAAAAGTAGTAAAAATGTTATAAGTGGAAAACAGAGTTCTCCTGTTTCTTCCGTACAATTTCACTTTTGAGTTCGATTCGTTTAGGTGATATGCGAAATACTGCAAATTGGAAAAGTTAAATGGGACTTTTGTAATCAGGGCAAAACATATTTTTTACCAATTCATACAAATTCGGAATCTGTGAGTAATCACAATGAGGGTTTCAATGAACAAAATTAGTGATTTTCTTTTTCAATGATTAATTAATTAACCAACGACGACTAACAAGTGCTCATATAACAAAGTTGAACTTATCTGGATCCAGTTACTCTGAACAATAATAAAATCAATTATGCCTGTACTTAATAATTTTATAGGGGTTAAAAAATTTTAATAATCGCAATATGTTAGAATTATCTTATTTGCATATACAAGTATAGTGGCAATAGTTAATTGGATTAATGTGTTAGAAGCCACTTTATAACAATGCTAGAAAATGGTTAATGGTTAATAGTGCGATGGGTACTTATTCTCACGATTCTTAGGATTTACGAAATAATTAGAGGTGGTAAATGCACATCTGTGGTCAATTTTATTCTTATCAGTTTGATTAAAGAAAAGCACATTTAGTGCGGTATTTAAGTAAGAAATCACGACAGTTATTTAAAATAGTGCATGCGTATTGGTAGATGATTATCATATTCTAATGAATTTTAGTTGCCAATAGTTGCATTTGGATCATAAATATGCAAAGTTATTTCAGAGTAGTTTGGTCAATTCCAGAAGCCCTTGATGATATTGTGGATCTTCGACTCGTTTTGTATTTTGAAGTTTGACTATGCAGAATCTTCCATTGGATAGGGGAATTCTTATAATGTCACCGTCAGGTTCTTTTGGCAATTCCTTTTGAACCTCACAGTTTCTCCCAAAGCAACTAGTACATAACTTGCTTACTAACTTACACAGTCGTTTCAGATGTTTCCATGGGTGATTTAAGTCAAGTAAATGATATACAGGCGATTTTGACGCGATTACTGATTTGAAAGTGACGGGTTCTTCTTTTACAATTTTCTTGTAAGGTAGACTCGAATCTTTAAATTTGTGAATTATTTTTTCGAGGCCTGGAATTTAAAATATAAAATTATGATATAAATAAACAAACACTAAGTCAGTGAGAGAATTGAACTATTCAAATTCAATACAAAGGTGCATTTATAGTTTGATATACAGAAGTATATCTTTTAATATTAGAAGAAAAGAAAGTAATTATTGAAAGGCTTACTCTTATCTTTCCCCATTCCCTACTCTTGTTTAAGTGGATTCGCACCTGTTCCCTTTTTAGGATTTAAATCCTCACCTTAAATTTCATGGGAATAATAAGATCAAATGGCAAATGGGAAAAGTTGTGTTGCCTTATAGGTCACTCTGGAGAAAAGTATATGATTTCGGTTTCGTTTAAGCACAATTATCGGGTCCCTATAGGTCACATTTTTAGCCAAACACAAACGACACATTTTGCCCTTGATGGCGATAATGCCAATAAGATTTAAGGACTGAAACGCTAAATTTGTGGGGGGCAAAACCGATGTTCAATACCAAATGTTTATTGTTGATGGGCTGTAGCGATCTGCTACCCTAGTAAAGATTTAACCGACTTAGAAATCTCTATTGTAGTATCCAATTTATCTGGCTAGACTCCGTGAACTAGCGGAGCTATACCTAAGCTAGGGAGCAAAGTGACTTATTGCGCAGAACACGTTCATTGCAAATTATGCAATTGGCAAAAAGCGAATAGTTTATTTATTTATTTCAAATGGCAGGCTTTATGATATTTATCATTAGCCCTTAATCTTTGACTTCAGCTTCCCCCAAGAGAGGGGGTACATTTATAGCAGTTAATTAATAGCAATTCATTAGCTGTCTTCTTGCTTCCCAGTATCTTTGGCTTTCCGTCCTTGTCTTTAGGGCTGGACATCGAATCAGGTGGGTCTTCCCCATTTCCTCCTGTAGGTCAAAGAGGGGGCATGTGGGTTGAGTGTATACTCTCAATCTGTGAAGATGTTTTGCCAACCAATCGTGTCCGGTACGTAGTCTAAACCCAGCAATGGCTTCGATTCTTGGCCAGTCGGGTATGTCGGAGAGTGCCACTGTCCACTGTTTCTCCTTTGTTCGAGCTTTAATTTCGTTGCACCTTGATGTATGGAATTCTCTTCTGATTAAGGCCTTCATTGTGTGGAAAGACATCGGACGGTCCATGCATCGCAAAATCGTTGTCGGCAAAGTGCTATCCTAATAGCCTCTATTTCTCCTTCAAAAGTGGATCTATTATGTCCCGCTGCTGCGTAGAAAGAGAAGAGTTCAGAATAGACACCGGCACCAACGTTTGCTTGGTTTTCTATGTATGACCCATCAGTGAAGACTTGGAGCCATTGATCTCCAGGATAGTTGACATTGATTTTCTCAAGGGCCAGTGAATGCATTTGCTCTGGAGGGGTGTTTGATTTCCTGAAGAAGTCGAGCAGTTGGGTGCAACATAGTACATCAGTGTCTGCTAATTGTCTCATGGGGAGAGAGAGGCTTTTTGGTTTGTCATCGATTTGTAATTCTTTCTCCAGTTCTATGACTTTCTGTATTAGACCGGATTGCGTTTTCAGATGTCTTGGTCTATTCTCATAGGTGCTAAAGAACGTATCCATGGGAATGCGCAGTAGTTTCTGATACAGGATCAAGGCCTTTTCTTTCATAAGGGAACCTATTGTGGAGCTTCCTCTAACTAGGAGCATTGCATCAATGGGTGTTGATTTTATCCCTCCAGTAATTAGTCGTAATGTTTGGTTGTGTGCCTTCTCGAGTGGTTTGAGAGTCACCTCTGTGGCTGTAATGAGTGGCTCACAGCAATACGACATTATTGGCTGAATAAACATCTTGTAAGTGGTGTTGAGTGTTGAGCTTGCACAGCCCCATACGCTACCAGCAAGACGCTTCAGTACATTCAGTCTATTGGAGACTCGTTCCGCTATTTTAGCAATGTGACTTTTCCACGTTAGCTTTGTGTTCAACGTCATTCCGAAATATGTGAACTCACTGGTTTTTTCTAGAGTAGTATCCTTGTACCTTAGAAGCGGGTTTATGCTGTGA